AACATCTTTCATCTTTAAAGTGTTTTACTGAGTATTTGAGATAATGTGTACAAATGCAAGAAGTATCTTGTATGAATCAGGTCTCTAACCTTGATATGGAAGGGTCTAGCAGTGCTTTGGATTAGGTGTTCGATTGTTAACCACAAGGTCATCTGTTCAAACCCACCAGCTGCTAAGCAGGAAAACATTTAGTCTCAGAAACTCTACATAAGGTCACTGTAAGTTGGAATCAACTCCATGGCAGTAGGTTTGGTTTGATGTTTGGACTTGAGAAAAATCAGCCACTGAAAATACATGGATCACAGTTCTAATCCGAGACATATGGAGTTGTCATGAGTGGAAATGAAAACAGAAATTGTTTTTTAATATAACTGTGAACAGAAAGAGGCCATTCATGGAGGATAAAGTATATTATCAAAATAAAGAGGAACCAAAGGAGAGAACAATTAATTGGACATTTATTATTTATTATCTAAATGTTAAAACTTTATCTCGGTGAAGATAACGGCAATAAGAATAGAAACTGAGTTTTCTATTGTTTCTATATTTAATCTTTAGCAACAATAAACAATAGGCATACCTTGTGTAGTTACATGTTTTAAAAGAGCTTCTAGATGTTCCTTTTCAGAAGCAGTAGCTTGATGGAGCCAAGCCAACATATCTCCAACATACCTAATAAAAACTAAATGTTAATAAGGTTTTCCTTCAGAAAAATATTAACTACTCTAATGTTGTCTGATTACCTCAAAGGGTCATGGGAGTGCATTTCAATGGGTCTAGGTGTACCTCCCGGGCCCCCTCTTGTAAGAGCATCTATAAATCCACGAACAACTGTACTTCTTCTGGCTGTTCCAAATTCATCCAATGTATACCTAGAATACACAAAATAGGTGAAAAACAGTTGTTCTTTTGTCCTATGGTTATAATACTATTCATGTAATTTATAAGAAATACATTTAAAGCTCTAGACGCTACTTTTAAACAGTGAAATATAATTATAGGGTAGCTTTACCATAATGAAAATTCAGTTTAAAGGAATATGGTTTTACACACCATTAAAAAGAATGTTTGAATTTGGGAGAAGAAAAGCAGGCAAGGGAAAAACAAGTAAATTTGGTACAAACTATCAGCCATGGTGAAGACCTTGGACTCTTCAGGTTTCAGTACAATTGCAGTCCAAAATATGACAGTCTACTCATACATAAAGGCATCAACTCTACTTCTCAAAATCTAGTTATAACTTGTTATTAAGTGCCCTTGAGTCAGTTCCAACTCACAGCAACCCTGTGTATGGTTTCTGAGGAGCAGCTGGTGAGTTTGAACCATCAACTGGTAGAGGAAATAAACTTTGAACTGAGAAGGAGGGCAATTTATGGGACATTTTATGAGAAGGATAGCTTGGAGTTGCCAAGAGTAACCATTTGTTTGACTAGAATAGCCTTTGTTTCCGACTATGACTGCTGTTCCTCTCTGTCAATGGAAAGTGCTATCAATTTTAAAAACAAAATTATTTCCCATAATCCTATGTCAGCAGATTTTAGACCCATTAATTTTCAAATCTATAAACAGTATTCTATTATACCAAATATTAATAATTATTTATAATTTTAAAACACACATTATTAAAATGTCTCAAAGATTAATTAATTCCATAAGAATTAATTTCATAAGCTGCAGGACTTCTGGTGTGGTGCTGCAGGTTGAGTTGTTATGGGTCAGACCAACTTGATGGCACTAACAACAGCAGCAGACAGTTTTTAAAAGCATGCTTGCAGTGTGGTGAATTATTTAAAGTCTCTTCTAGCCAACTTTGTAAATTATCACCAAATGACTTTTTCTGGATAGGTCTGGGTAAGAAAGTAGAGGGAGATGCTGATGGTATGATTCACTCGTGATTGTTAATAGGATTGTGATTACATACACCTGGAAATCTAATGAGGGGATTGGTCAATGCTACCATTCTGCTGGGTTGAAAATGAGCCATCTCAGACAAGGAGCAGAGTGTATCCTTTGGACCCTGAGACTCTTGCAGACTGAACCTCTTTGATGCAGGGAAAGACACTGGGACACCAGTGGAATGATAGGGGAGCAGCAACAGAAGAGCCAGTGCCGGAGCACAAGACAGAGCAATGAGCCTCCCAGCCAATGGAGCAAGTAAAGCTGAGTGACTTAGAGGGGAGATGTGCTTGCAGACAGGAGTGCCTCTAGGCACTTAATTGAGGAAGCTAGGTTTCCTGACCCATGGAGTTAAGCCGAAAGCCTTTGGACTAAGGCTTATACTGGAATAGAGTATTTTTTAAGCATTCATCAGCAGCCCTAAATGAGCTTTGTTGCTCAGAGAGAGGCCTGCCTTGTGGGCTGAGGAGAAGCTGTCCTGAGTAGAACTGTGCCTTATGTATTTCTGTTCCTGAATGGTAACGTGTTAACTTCCCTAATAATCACATAACTGTGAGTATGGTGGCTGAGTTCTGAGTGGCCACTGCAACGAATTATTGAGCCCAGATGAGATGTAAAGAGTGCTGTAGCGGATTTGGTTAGTATCATCCTGCTCAAAGCAGACATTATTTTCTAGTTAAGCTAAATTATTAGTTGGTTTAAAGAAAACTACAGGAGATACTTTTTAAAGTTGAAAAATTATCTCAAGGCAATAGTTTTGGGTTCATCCAGCATCCATAGTTTCAGAAACCCTGGATTCCATTAAAATGTGAATTTCTCTTCTGTAATTTCCCCCTTTTCATCAGGATTCTTCGATAGAATTTTTTATCAAAATGTTCAGTAATGGTAGCTGGAAACCATCGGTTCTTCTGGTCTCAGGCAAAGGAGGCAGTTGCTCATGGAAGCAATTAGCCACACATTCCATTTCATCCTACAGATATGGTTTGGACGGTCACTTATAAACATTAAGGAAGTCAGGCACTACATAATGAAGTAGGAGTAGAACAGAAATATTAAACATAATGTTAGGCCATTTGACTGGGATGTCCCCATGAAACTTGACCCTTAATTTCCAAAGTAAGAAACCAAATCCTGTGAGACGTGTTACTTGACTATACATAAGCAGCTTTACCAGCAGCTCTGTTGTGGTTGTTGTTGTAAATACATCTTGTATGGATTGAATTTTGTCCCCTAAAACTATGTGTTGTAAATCCTAACCTCGATTAACATGGTTATCACCTCATTTGGGAATAGGTTATCTTTATTGTGCTAATTCATCCAGATTAATGTAGGGTGTATTTTTTCGTCAATTTCTTTCAAGATATAAAGAGATTAAACCAGCGAGCAGACTAGCAATGGGTAAGAGATGTCAAGCACATGAAGACGGCCCAGGAGGAGAAGCCCAAAAGAGACAAGAACCTTCCCCTAGAGCTAGCAGAGAATACCGTCTCTGAGAGACAGCACCCCAAATTGATGGACCAAGTGGCAGCATCAATGGACTCAAGTGTGGTAACAATTATGAGGCTGGCCCACAATCATGCAGTGTTTTGTTCTACTGTACATAGGGTTGCTATGAGTCGGTACAAACTCGATGGCACCTAACAACAACTACAAAGTCTAAATGTTGAGAAAATAAATTTCTATTTGTGTGTGTGGGTTTTAGGACTGGGTAAAGGATAGAGCTATGAAAGTTTTAAAGTGCCTAACAATAGTATTGGTAGAACTATGGATGTCAAAGGTAATTCTAGTAAGGGCCCAAAAGGAAGTGAGGAAACCTTCAGAGAAAGTTTCTATCATGTAACAGAATGCATATGGCACCAGCAACTGCACGTTGCTAGAAATATGGATGCTTTTGTGATTTTCATGAAATTTTAAAAAACAGTAATGAAGTTGTGAACTAAGTCTGACCACATTCAAAACACTCCTGTTAACCTGGATTGAGACCTGGTTAACCAGCAGTATGATGAGACCTGGGGAGTTCTGGGCCCAGGGGCAGGGACATGGCCCTAGAGGACTAGAATGGAATGTGAAGCATCCAACTGATATGAAGTAAGGGGAGATGCACAAGAACAATCCACACTTGCAGATAGTACCCATTTGACCTGGCATCAATGGCTGGAAGATCAGAACACAACTAAAGGAAGAAAGAAGAGGAGGAAAAAAAAGGAGTAACCCACCACAAGTGGATGAACTTGACCTATGCTTGTAGATGCAGTATGACAAAGAAGCAGACAAATCTCTATAGTGAGGATCATCCCCACCCCCTTGGTACACAGGATAGCTCTTGAAACATTCGACAGGGATGGGGAACTCAGACATTGGCTACTCAAAATGGGGGGACTACAAAGGCAAGAAGTGACTGGCTTGCAAGCTTTCAATAGAGAACCTAGCTCCAGACGATTCAGGGAAAGGTAGAATCTCCACTGAATTGTTTCCAACCTGTCTGGATGGGGTTGATAAAAGGTGAGGGGGAAAGGACTCCTGTAGTTCAATAGGGAATTATTGCTATCAGGTCTGATAATGAGTGTTGAAAAGGTAAATGTAAATGTTTGGTAACAAACGGAGGGGAGTGGTTGATTTTGCAGTCTAGGAGCAGAGATCCCTGGAACCATCAAGGGAGAAAAGCGAAGTACCCTGTCCGGAGAGGCAGTGACAATAGGGATGGAGGCAGAGAAGATGACATGGACAGAAGAAGCAGTTGGGGACTCTGCACTCAGGAATGGAGAGGGGCTGTGTACTGGCAGCCAGGGGGTAGGTGTGTAGTGTGTACCCTTTGAGTGTTTGATGATGCATACAAGGAATTGTGATCATTGCAATGAAACAAAATACAATAGGATGAATGTAAATATAATGTTCACCCATGTAAACTAACACATAATTCACAACAAAAACTTTAAAAAAAAAAAAAGAATGACAGAAGAGGTATTGTGTTGTATTCATCAACCAAAAGAATGTTTCAAGATCTACCCTGAACTACAAGGCTGTCAGTGACTGGATAATACCCAAAAAGCTACAAGTACAACTGTACAATTAATAAACTGTGCAAATGTACACACTAGCTACTAATGCCAAAGATGAAGAAACTGAAGATTTTCCCCAACTGTGACAGTCTGAAATTAATCAAACATGCAATCAAGGTACACTGATAATTAATCATGATTGGAATGCAAAAGTTGTAAAGAAGTGTCAGTAGCTGGAAAACATGGCCTTAGTACTAGAAATGATAATAGCTATCACAGCTTATTCTTTGCAAGTACCTTTTTTAATAACATAAACAGCAATTATAAAACATGGACCTCACTGGATGGAAATAGACTACAATCTGTGTAAAGAGATCATTTGGGAAGCTCAGTCTCATCAATCAAAACAAGGTGAAGTATGGTGTAAAAGACCATCAATTGTTCATACGCAGGTTCAAACTGAAGCTGAAAAAAATTAAAACAAGCCCATGAGAGCCATAATAAGACTTTGTGTATATCTCACCTTAATTTAGAAACCATCTCAAGAATACACTGGATGCTAATTACCAAAGACCAGAGAAGCTGTGGGTTGATAACAAAAGGCAAAATGCCACAGACCGACCCTCGACTCTGGAGAAGCAGTGTTGTGCCTCTCAGTACCTCACATCGCTGGCTTCGGCTCCCTCAGCCTGCTCGGCCTTTTCACCTCGGCGGGAAGCAGATACTCCGGTGTATGCCCCACCCTTGACCCCACTCGAGATATGTCTACTCAGGCTCAGCAGTGCCTCATTTGGGACTTTAAGAGGTTACAGGGCGCTCCTCCTGCTGGAGTGAGTGGGGCCCCCTCGGAGAACAGCAGCATGGTTTGGAGCCTGGTTATTTTTGGGACCGAAGGGACCCCCTTTGAGGATGGCACATTTAAGCTGACCATAGAATTCACTGAAGAATATCCGAATAAGCCACCTACAGCTAGAGTT